CGGGCCCGTAACCTATTCTCGTTAAAAGATTGAAGAGTTTGTTCCGAAAGAGCAGGTTGCCAACGGGGGTTTTTGAAGTTTTTGCAAAAGTCCTAATTGCAACATTCAGAAATTTGGAACATGTAAAATGGTCTTCCTGGCCCCGCAGCAGGGGTCTGCCTGTTCATTCCCGTACGTCAAAGACCAGGGACCCAACAAAAAACAAATTCTTTATGTTGGTAAAGATCGGGTAGCCAAAATTGGATACGGAGAACTAGGGGATGAGATGTATCAAATTTTCTATAGCCTTAAGGCACTAAGGGTTAGATTCCAAAAATTAGGAAAGGCAAAGAGGCCATATGAATAATCCCCAAGGGAAAGGGATACAATTAGCATAAAAAAGTAGCCAAAAATTTGGAAAAACCTGATGTGTAAAAAATAACCGATACCCCTTTAAGAAAAATAAAAATTTAAAGAAAGGGTAAACAAGGGTACAGAAATTGAGCACCCTACAAAAGGAGCAAAAAAGGATTAAAATGAAAGAAAAAGAGGGTAGAAGTGCACAAAGAAGTCAATTTCGTTAAGTTATTAGGAAAGGATTAATATGAATAAAAAGGCAAAGGTTACCCCAAGCATAATTTGTTGGTATAAAGACAACCAAAAAACCTTTGCAACCCTAAACCTCACATTCCACTAAGCAACCATATTGGAAAGAAAGCTTTATTAAAAGTAAGAAGGAAGGCTAAATGGGAAAAATGAATTTTCACTTCCCAAAGGACGAAAAAAGAACTTGAGAATGGACAAGGAAATTTTGAAAGTTGGGGTACTTTCTTTAATAGATTCCAAATAGGGAAGAAGGGGGTTTCACCCAAATTTTTTAAAAAACTGCAGTGAGAAGTGAAATTAGCATTGAGGTAAGGCCTTGAGCCAGACGGGAAAAATTAATTTTATTAAATTGTAAAATGATTAAAATTTAACTAACCATCGAATATTTTCCTAATTTAAAAAAAGGTGGTGTTTGGAGGTGAAGGAGAATGAGAAATACCAGTATCCGGAAGGTTCTTAAGCTCCAATCCCGGACCCCAAAAAAACTCCCAGGATCCAGATTATGGATTTTAGAAAATCTGAAGAAACCCCAAGGGTTTAAAAAAGGAGGGGGGTTAAAAATAAAAAGGGGGGGGGGGGAAAAGGGGATAAAATATAGGTTCGGCGAGGAAGCAAGAACCAATTTTCGACAATAGCCTTTTTCCTATAAAGAAATAATAGGACAGATCTGTAGGGCAGAAGGAATTCAGGGTCCCAACCCCAAAACAGGAATATCAAGAAGACCATTTAAACGACCAATTTTTCAAATTCAGGAATATTGTAAAAACAGAGGGACAATTCACTTGTGAAAAAAATATTATTAAAAAAATTAAAACCATGAAATTTCCATCGAACACCATCAATAACTTAAAACGCCCCCAACAACCACAAGAAAATTTTGAGGGCGCCGAATTATGTCAAATGGTTTTAAGAAACAAATTAAAAAAAACAATAATAAATAACATTAACTGAAATCAGTTAATATGATATGGGGAAATTATTACCCTCAAGTAAGGGAAAAAACCACAAATTTTTTTTCAATTTGACAGACTTTTAAATAGCCTAGTTCAATAAATAATCCCAGGCATACATTAAATTTAAACCATTAGCAAAAAATTTTAACAGAAACAAAGAGGTTTTTTTGTTGGCGAGGAGAGAAAGGTAATGATGAGTGTGACAGCTTTGGAAGTGTTCTTACGACTACTTTTTAATACCGGGCTTACTCCTTCACAAAGTCTGTCCGAGAATCACTCGGGGAAATGGAGTTTTTTAACATTGAAGTATAAATTTTAAATACAGTTGAATTCACATACACACACTTCATACATCTTGCATTTGGGCATCAATATTATGTATAACCATTTGGGGAAAAAAAAATTAACGAGGCGCACAAAAAATTCGGGGATTATTAACAAATGAGAGCAAATATTACTCATTATTTATGACAATATAGTTATCTCCATATAAATGATGGAGCATGAACGGGAACTTCCCCAGGCTCCCACCAAAATACAGTGGAATCATAGGGAACATTACACGCCCAAAGTTACAAATTCATGGATATTGTCCCACGAAAAGCAGCATGACGACATTAAAACCTTTGGACTGGAAATAATCTCATAATACACATTCAAAACGCATAAATATTCCCCTTCAACACAGCACCAAAACTCAGTGAAATACTGCCCTCAACAACCACTCAAGTCCCATTCTGCATATGATGTTCCTAATTCATGCCTCCAATGGTTGTCTTACGGGAAGCACATTATATTTTCACAAGGACAGTGATTTATATAATATTTAACCTTTTAACCTGCATACCTTCAGGCTGTAGTAGGTAGGGGGAACACTTTTGACTGTAAACCCGCGAAGGGAAAATAATTTTCCACTAACTTTTCGTGCTTTCATTTTTGACCCAGACGTACAGCCCTAGTGACAAAAAAGAAATTATCTAATTCTCCTTCGCCGGGTGAATCAACATATCAAACTACCATGGGTAATGTCAAAAAATTTTAAAATTTTCCATCTTTTTTTTTTTTACCTGGGTATATCACTCACAAATACAGGATATACTTTTGCCATTTTAATTTTTCCCCTAGTGAATAATTACATCATAACTTCAAAAGGAACCCTCCATACAGGAAACTTGCAGATGTCTCGGCTTTACTTTCCCCCCGAAGGTCCCTCGTCTGTTGATTTGGTTTTATCCAAAGATTTTTAAAATGACTTTAAACGGGAAATAAAATTGCGCCAAAGAAAAAATCCCCAACCCAGCTGAATTACATAAAACTTAAGGTTTTACCCTAAATGCAATAATTTTAAAAAGGGGCCCACTAAATCCTCAATGTTCCAAAAATCATTTAGAGCACTCATACCTTTGGAAACCTGCACAGCAAGAAAGGAGAGAAAATGGGGAAGGGTGCTTTTCAACATTTTAGGCTTCACATAATTAATTTAAAAAGGAAGGTACCCTTTCAAAAATTTTTGCAAAGCTGCAAATAGAAAAAAAAAAAAAAAAAACGAGGGAAAAATTACTAAGGGTTATTTCCCTGCAAAAATCATGAGAACGGACAATGACCTCTGCTTTACTTTACTTGGTCACAAAAACAATACAGGTTACCCCCTGAATACTCAGCCTTTGGCAGCAACCTTCAAATAATTGCCTTTTACTTGTGCTATAGATGGTAAAAGAAGTTTTGAAATTCATTAGAATTTAACTTATTGAAATAGCATACTTTAAAACCATTCAGCAACTGTGAAACAAAGCTTTATAGATTTTAATGTAATAAAGTGATAAACTGGTTACAAAGTCTCAAACATCTAAGGTGAGGATAATTGTTACGAGATTTTCATTTTGCAGTCTCACCGTATGTGCTTGGGAGGAAATTGACATTGCTTGAAAACATTCCTAGAAATTTTGAGCACAATGGCCCACCCATGTTAGGGACCTGGAGTCACACATACAGTTCAAGAATTATGAAATTATGAAAACAAAGAATAAAAATTTTTGTATATTAAACATGTGCAACTGAAGGTAACAAAACTTTATTTAAATTATTAATAAACTAGGGGTTGGAATTTGCATTCTTGTATAAATAATACTTGCAGATCTATAAATTGACCTTGTACTGTAACTCACCAAGTCAAAATTGTTAAAAAATATAAGCTACACAACACATCTGATAATATTTAAAGTCAATGTAAACTACAGTGTCCTCAACAGCAACCTTGTGTGGACGTGAATTTCATCACTCCAACAAACCTACTTCAGTAAGCCAAATGTTCAACGCAGGGATCAAAGCATTTTATTGGCCAAAGGGGTTGACTGACCATCTTCGAAATAAATCATTAAAAAAAACTACCTTTTAGGCCGCTCTCTCTCATTCTAAGTTTATAGGGTATTAATATTTAATTTTGCAAGCAATTTTACCTGCCAGCTTTACTCTTTTTGGGGATTAAGCTTTATGCCCATGGTCAATAACTATTTGAGACAGAGCACAACTATTTGCAATTACGAAGGCAAATGGAAAATATGGAAGCCATGACTTTGTAATAAAACTTTTGCTATCCAACATTTATAGACAACCAAATCCCTGGTAGGTAAATGCTTCTGTAACGAGCACTTTTAAAAAGAAAAAAGCGCTCGAGTTTGCGTATTATACAACAGAGAATCAAGCTCAGGATAATTAACCAGACACCACCAGGCAGTCTTTCACTTACTCCCGTATACCAAGTTAACAGTTTAATGTACTTCGTAAGACCAAACCCTTGTTTAGGCTCACTATATGTATGGACAATTCATTTTCTGTACAATCTTCTTCCTCATGGAAATTTCCAGACATCAAGATCTGACAAATTTATCCAGCTGCAGGACACAGGCTGTCCAAAGAAAAACACTCCCTAAACAACCAACTAGCAACACATTTATTGTCACACGTCTGCAACGTAGCAGTTATTCCATTACATTAACACTTAAACCACTGAATTCAGAGTGTTAACTCACTTGTGTTTAAATTTATCGATTGCATATCACCAGGACCATCAGAGGACCCAATGGTAAATGTTCCCTGACCTGTTTTAAATCCCCCCCTCCCTCCCAAGAGATGTCAAAAATGGTGTTTGTCACTGGCACACAATCACAACCGGGGTCACTGGGGGACAGATGGCAGGGTCATAGTTATTCCCCTGGGACAGTGAATACCCTCACAATGTTTCTGATGTATAAACCCCCTTTTTCCTTTACAGGGATCAAGAATACTTCTCACAATGTGAAGAAACTTGTTCCTCTAGTCACAGCCAAAACATGGTAGGTGCCAATAATGCTACCATAGATGTTTACGATAACACATAAGCCAAAGTGTCTCGATAGACTTTTGGCCATGTGTGGGATCCTCACTTTAGCACCAGCGAGAAAGCCAGCATCCATGACTAACTAGTATGTCCAATGAGAGTACTGCTCACATCTTTGTAAATAGTTTTTTTTTTTTTTTTGATTCAGACAAGATAGACAAGCACTCGCATATACACAATAAGTGAATCAGCCACATAGTTTCTAGGGTGTGACTTTTTCACATTTTCAATAATGTACAAGGCTATCATAGTCAAAAATAAACTCTCAACTGTACAGGTAAGCAGGATGCCCCACATTTGGCACCGGTCACACACTCTCCAGTTGGGCAAATTGCATACGGTAAACAGCATGGTCATGTCGTCAATATGTACACAAAATGGCAGACAGCGTAGGCACTGGAGAAGGATGATGCAGCCACATGCACTGCAGCAGCAGAACTGGGCAACTAGTGGGGTGTGGGAGCACCAGGCTGGGGACGTATCAAACTAGTGTACCACTCAGTAGCTGCCAGAGAACACCACCAACATGCAGTTACACCCAATTTGTAGTATGTTGGTATGTGTATAGGACAAGGCAGAACTAGCCAGGGTGTTCATATTATGTCTTATAGTCCCTGACTGTAGTCTAGTCCCCTTAGCCTGGTGGGCAGCCTCTGTCAATATGTCACTTCCAGTCTCAGACTTCACTTTGGTGACTTAGGTCTGGCAGAATCCCGTGGCCTGAATGACGAAGGCAAACGATTTTCCCGTGGGGGTCCATCCCTTCTCATGGGCTTGCAGTCTCGCTCACGGGGTAGCAAAACTTTCTCTGCAAAGTAATTAATACGTTAAAGCTAGACAATTGGCTACACAAATAAAAATAAAGAATGGAAGGAATGGAACATGTATCATTACCTAATAACATATTCCCTATTTTACAAAACTAGTCAGTATACTGTAGATTCTGGAAAAAAAAAAAATAGAAAAAAAAATTAAATTTGATTTTTTAAATCAAGGATCAACTACTCAATTTCACAAATGTCACAGAAGTACTTCATTATATCTAAGTTATATTACAAATTATATTTACTAACACAGACAGGTTTTCTCTGGCAAGAACATATACAAATGTAATCAACAGACGTTTGAATAAAACAAAGCAGTTTGTAGATAGCTTCATAGAGAAGCTAATAATGAAAGTTATCAAAATTATTTATGGAATCAATTTCTAAAGATACACAATACCATGCAATTACTGTACTTCTGGTGTACTGCATTTATCACTCAAAAAATAAGACCACAAGACATGTTACAAAATGAACACAAATACCTCTTAAATAATTCACAAATTATATTTATAATAATCCATAAACACACTGAGTTCCTCAGCACTGTAATGGAAAAAGGTGTTGATTTAGAAGTGTGAACAATGAGGTCATTTGAAAAAAGGGGAAGTCAAAGACAGTGCAACAAGTCAGTTTCAGTTAAGAAGTCAGAGTCTGTACTGTATAAATCACAGGAGTTAGAAGTCAGAGTGCCTACAATGAAGATGGGACTTACTGAAGTGAGGTAAGTTAGAATCAAGGTATAGGGGCTTTGAAGATGTTGGATTTTTTTTTTTAATAAATGAGACAATCTATAAAATGAGGCACAAATGTAACCTGAAAATTCTGAAGGGCAATGGCATATCAAGACAGCCACCAAGTCATGCTGAATGTACCGTACCTCCTCAAAGCAACCACAAGTCTCTCATGTCCAATACACCATCATGTAAATAGATTATCAATACTCTTACTACCTCAAACAAACAGCGATACCCACAACTGCTTATTAAGCAGGACAATTAGAAAAAATAGTAATACATACAACTGATTGCAAGTTTCAGTAAACATGTATCTTATTATGTAAAGTAGTAAACATGTAGGCGTTCAGCGCAACATGTGGTGAAGGTTTGATCCTTCACCCAAAAACAAAAGTAGAATTTGCAAGACATTTTCCTGCACAAGTGGTTCAAGATGACATTCTTTTTGAGCCTGAATTCCATTTCTCAGTTTTTTTATTTATTTTCTTCAGGCTGAATCCCATTAACCACTGAAAAGACCAATCTGAAGTTTATCAAGTCCTCCCTGCAGATATTTTTCATCTTCTTCCAACTATGACGTAACAACCAGCACTGAATTTGAAGGAGATGGAATACGAGGAATCCTTGCAACGCACTTGGGTCAGTCCACAACAAATTAAGCAAACATGGAAGAAATTGGACGATAATAAAGAGTAAAATTACGTAGTACAGGTCAGCCCTTACTAATCTGGGATCACTGGGACCTGTAGTGTGCCGGATTACAGAGTGGTGAGGTTAGAATACGCTTAATTAACCTATCAATAGAGAGTGCTACATCTTCTTCACTGCTTTCTCCTCCACTGGCTTGTTGCTGTGGATTTACAACCATCTGCACAATTTCTGAGTCGGTATAATGATGAAATCTGAAATTATGCTAGCCAAAATTAGTGCCAGATTACTGATGGAACCAGATAACTGATTACTGGACTAGTGATGGCCGACCAGTAATTGTATTACGATGCAATGCCATGCTGAGGACACGTGACCCCATTCAAGATCTTCAAGTGAATACAGATTAAATTTACCTTTGTACAGGTGTGTAAATTGAGACCAAAGCCCCAACCCTTCCATTACACAAGAGTATTTGATTAACATGCAGGAATGTGTATAATTTTTTTTTTTTTTTTAGATTTTTTCTGCCCTTTAACATGTTAAAAACTAAAGACAACCAGTCCTGCCAGAGTGCGCACATATTGTTTAACAGGCTTCAGTTTCACATGTAACAATAGTACCTCTTCAATGGTTTGCCGTCTACTAATCTCCAACAGTCTTACTGCCAAATGAATAACAAAAAAGGCCCAATACCATGACTGAAACGATACACAAATAACCCGCACATAGAAGAGAGGATGCAAATTTTTGAATGCTGAACAATTACCTATAATCATAGTTACAAATTATTCAAGAAATGGATGGCTATATTGTACTTACAGCAAAACCTCTTAATGGAGTTCAGTAATTTGGAGAGGGGGGAGGGGAGGGAGAGAGAGATGCCTAAACTGACAAAAATGGACAAAAGTCCGTAATTCTGAATTTTGTCCATATTAATATTATCTGGTTGTCTCTTAAGTATCAGACCAAACTGATGAATCTGACATTGTCTGCTACAGGCCTGAGCGACCATGTCCAGACCCAACTCTTTTTTTCCTTCTTCCTGTGCCACAGATAACCCACACTAGTTTGTGCTAACACACACACATAATTCATCTATAATTTTCACAATATTTTGTGCATTTTGTGATTTTATTAATACAGTAAGTGAAGTGAAATTAACAATGACTTCCAAAGCAAGTGGCGGTGCCGAGACGAAAATGTGTGGTTCTCAGTGTTAAGCAGAAACCTTAAAAGCAAGCACAAGCTTATACATGCTAATGGAGCTATACAGCTCTGACTTATTCTAAGTTATTCTGATCATGGCAGTTTACACATCTCTCCACCACAAAAAGTAAGTAAAATTACTGTAAATTACATCTGTATCATAAAATTACCACACAATACTACAAGTTATGATACCCATATTCTAAGTGCCCGACTGTCTTCTGTATCAGTGAGCCAAGTCTGGGAAGTTTCAGAAAATCAGCATCATAACCCTCCCCCCTCACCTCAATTAGATCATTAATGAGAGGGTTCACTGTGCACCAGTATATATCACTGACAAAAGATTGTCACTAAAACAAACTTAAGATAAAATGGATGAAGGGGAAAAAGAAAAATTTGAAATTTACCATAATTTTAGATGCCAAAATTAGGAGTGGCAACATTGATGAGAGCAAATCTTAAGCTGATATAAAGCATCTTCAAAAAGGCCACAGAAAACATATTCAATTAGTAAAAAATTCAATTGCAGCTCTATAGTGAAATATGGAAAAACTGAAGAACCCTAAACTGGAACAAAGCATAAAACCTAAGAGTGAAAGACTAACAAAGGACATTTAGGAATGTTATGTCCAAAGATCACACATTAAAAGGACCACAACTGTGTCATTATCTTAAGGCTAGTATATTACTATACATTAGTAGCCCCTTTTAAGATAGGCAAAACTTCAAATCTGAAGAATATACAGAACCACTCATAGTTTCAGTAAATTCTTGAAGGATGTCCTGAAACTGCACATAAAATTCACCTCTTTACAAACACAAGATGCTATGCAGAGGGTGCAAAATACCTGCAGCAAAAACCAGGGTCCCATTAAGTAGAGAATACAATAAGAGACTAAGGAACCATAAGCCAAACCCCTCTTTTCATAAGAGGAATTACCACAAACCTTCATCTTCAAGAGAAAACTTTATAAGCACTAAGTCAATTTCTGATCAGTCAGGTTGTAGTGCCCATGTTGGACTGTGTGTAACTACAGGAAGAGCCTGGTTAATCAGGTCAACCACCAAAAGCCCTAGTCTGGAACTGGACTGCAGACACTGACTCCATCCCTCCCAAAGTCTTCAAGTAAATATTAAGAGGAAATAAAAGTGAACATAGGAAAGCAAATGATGATAAAAAAAATCTAGATTGGGAGGGAGTTAGGAGAAGGTAAATGTGTTCATATATTGGGGGGGGGGGGGGCGGCTTGTTGACAGATGGACCTAAAAAGATGAAGTGACCCATAAAAAAAAGGAGGGGGGGGGGGTGCATTTAGTAACTATGGAGATAAAAAAAAAAAAAAAAAAAACTATCCATGGGGCAAAAAGGGAATGCACCTTGAGGAGGATGGGATTTGCCATTTGGAGTATCATTAACTGTGATGTAATGCATGCTTCTGGCAAGACAGTGAGTGAGTGAATGAATAATGGTGAAAGTGTTCCTTGTTTTTTGGATCACCCGACCTTGGTGGGAGACGGCTGGTGTGTTGAAAAATTAAAGAAAAAATAAAATATGCTAAAGTGGTATGGTATCTGCACCTATGAAATGCATGTAGTCCAAACACTAGCTACAAAATGGCTAAATGAAAAATTTTTCAGAGGCAGAAAGAAGCGGACATGAAAGAACATAAATAAAAATATATTTTCTAATTTCATTAACAGGAAGAAAACAAAAACAAAAGGACTATAAATTTAGAAAAAAAGGGGGGGGGGGGGAGGTAGAAAAATTAACAGGTTACACTCTTAAGTATTAACGCTGGAAATTTTAGAACATTACATGATTAAATATTGAAGACAGGACACCACGAGCATAGCTCTGCACCTGAAGCTATAAATAAGTAGGCAATTAAAAAGATTCATTTGGAAGTCACAAAAAATGAAACATACAATATAAATAAATAAAAATACTACACTACATTGTACAGTACTGAAATGTGTCACTTGCCTTGACTCTGGCAGTCGAGTGCAGTAGTAACCCTTCTGAAGACTTTGGAGACAGTTTGTTTTTTATATCTAAAACTACACACATTTACCTCAGAAAAGTTGTACTAAACAAATAACTTCTCAGAGGAGCAGCAAAATTTAAGCAGGTCCAGACAGTTGTCAGAGATTGGATATAAAACTGAGCCGACAAAACAGCTGGGACATCTGCAGACTTTACCTGTGATAGGACTGCCAACCTTACTGTAACCAAAGTCACATTATAATTTTGTGTGTGTATTATTCTGTATGATCTATGCATGAGGGGCTGACACTTATGTTAGTCAAGTAGAAAGTAAGGAATCTGCTACCCCACACTATGGTTGAACTAAAGCCAGAGTCAACAGGGGATCCAGAGAAAAAATGATTGC